CGCCTGAGGGATCGAAAGTCACGGGCATTCAATGTTGGTTTTCGGCCTTGCCCCTTACGTGTAGTGATTTCTCCAGATTCTCTGAACCTTTTGATGATATTACGGACCGTAGATGGTGAAATACCTTAATTCCTTCCAATAGCTTGTTGAGAAATGTTGTTCTTGAACTGTTTGCTGATGAACTGTTCGACAATTTTCCCATGCATTTGTTCACAAAGTGGTGACCCTCGCCCCATCCTTGTTTGTGAATGACTGAGCATTTCAAGGAAGCTGCTTTTATACCGAATCATGGCACCCACCTGTTCCCAATTAGCATCTTCACCTGTGGGATATTCCAAATAAGTGTTTGATGAGCATTCCTCAAATTTCTCAGTCTTCTTTGTCACTTGTGCCAGCTTTTTTTAAACATGTTGCAGGCATCAAATTCCAAATGAGCAAAAAATAACAAAGTTTACCAGTTCGAACGTTAAGTATGTTGTCTTTGCAGTGTATTCAGTAGAATATAGGTTGAAAATGATTTACAAGTCATTGTATTCTGTTTTTATTTACGATATACACAACGTGCCAACTTTTCTGGTTTTGGGTTTTGTAATTCTGGTTTAAAAATGCAGCTCAAAGAAAGATTTCCTCTCACATTTGTGATTGAGTTTTTAGGAAAAATTTAGAAAACAACAGGTCCCTCTGATAAATGATTGGCTCAGTGTCGATGAGATTACAGGTCTAGTCTAAAACAAAACTGAATAGTTAAAGTGAGAAGTTATTTGTTGTCCTAATAGCAAACAATCAGGATGTGCGGATTACGCTAATAAGATCATTACTGTCAGAAGGTTTAGAAATGTATTCAAAGTATCCTTTCAACCTTTTTCTCTTTGTTTACTTAGATACAGAGAAATTTGCATCAGTGTTTTTTTTTATGTGAGGAAAACCTACCAAGTGTTAATTATTTTCCAATGTTTAACATTAAATATTATATTTTTGATAAATGTTTAAATGATGCATGAATTAAAAAAGCGGTTTGCAGTTTTCTTTGAGAGGAAAACATTGATTAGCATCTTACTGATTTGGTGTGTTCAGGGCGGGGAGCGACCACCGGCGGGGGCTCGGCCTCATCTTCGTCTTCATCCTCAGACACAGTCGCAATGACGGGCGTCTCCGACACGGCCTTGGAGCTCTGCGTGATGTCACAGGAAAAGAATGGGCGGAGCCTCAGTGACTTTATGGTTACATGAACTATCATCGACACCAGACCCATCGTTCCTTCCTGTTGTCACCACGGCTTCCTCTGCTGCTTCTTCATCTCATTACGCTGATCTCCTGCTGCCTTTCTTAAACTCAGCTTTCCTTCTTTGCCTTTTTTTTTAACTTTGCCTTTGTGTCTGTCTTTCCTACTTTCTCTCCTTGCTTTCTCATCGTAGGTGGTGTCTAAAGCCTCTGCTCAGGTTGGGCTCATGTAGCTGGTCCCTGTTCTCTCTCTATGTCTGTGTGATATTCAGATGCTCGGCTGGTGGCCAAGCTGCAGAGACAAGCAAATGGTGAAAGGAGGGAAAGATGCTGATTCACAATGCAGAGAGGAAGGGAGGAAAAGTGCATCTTGTAGAGCACCTCCCTCCCTCTCTCTATTTAGCCGTTTAGTTTGGTTTGAGGGCATCTGTCAGGCCAGACGACATTTACTTTGGAGAACAGAATGCGTCTATTTGAGGATTAATGAGCAAAACTTTCATTCAATCAAACAACTCTCCCCCCACACTTTGAAATATTGTACTCTTTGCCCACAAATCAGACGGACCATAGACTTTTAGAGGATTCTACTGACATTTATGTTGTCATAAAGCTTTTGAGTATGGAAACAGAATAAAGAGGAAAAATAACAGTCTAAACCGAGTACAGATATATACCCTCTAAATAGAACCCTAAAAAGTCCTTTTCTAAATACACTATAAAACCAGACAGTTAGTTGTTTTATATGATACAATTTCACTATACTTTTTGAAGTTCGCCAACAAACGTCTTCTTTGGTTTCCACCACTTTGAGCAACATGAACAAAAGATGCAGTAAATAAAAACAAACCATCTTAACCAAAATACACTGAAGCAAATGTTTCTAGGTGAAACTATGCTCCTTCATTAAGGTTGTATTTAAGGCTTTTGAAAACATCTTTACTAAAAGTGCGAATAATTTCAAAAGGTGAAATACATGTTTTATAAATAAACAAAAGGCAAACATGGAGTTATTTTTGTGTTTTTATCAAATTCAAGGAAAAAATTTATCTGAAATGACAATTTAAAGAGTAAAATTAATATATTGGAGACAAAAAAAACCTGAAGTTGAGACTGAAGAAAAACTTGAGAAAAACGTTTTCAGAAAAATCCTGAATCGAGAGCAAAGAAGGTTTTGAGAAAAAGAAAAAGTCAATTTTTCAGAGAAATGTTTTCACACTGATTGCAAAAAAAAAATAAAAAATATTTGAGACTAAAAATATATTTTGAGAGCTTTTTTCTCCTGGAAATCTTTCTTCAAATGATAGTCTTTTATTTATTCTATGACAAAATATCTTCTCTCAAAAGTTTTTTTTCAGTCTCACATAACATCAGTTTTTGCTATCAGTGTAAAAATTTGTCTTCTCTAATATATTTGTTTTACTTAAAAGATATTTTTCCCTTTCAGATTTATTTTTCTCTTTAATTTAACAAAAACACAAAACTAACTCCATAGAAACACTGCTGTTTAAGGGTTTTAAAAATAGAGTAACTTTACAGATGTCTGATTGCTAGTTTTGCACACAATCGAAAATTAAAATCACCTAATTTTATTTAGTGCATCAGGATTAAAAGTGAAAAAATAAAAACTTTCTAAAATATTTTCAGGATGCCAAGTTACAATGTGTTTCCATAGAAACAGATCAAAGAGAAGTCTGGCAAAGGAAATGAATGTGAAACAGCTACAGTGTAAACACAATTATTATCTTTGAACCAGCTTCAACTGCTTTATTTAGGACAGCATCAGATTTGACCTTTTCCACATGAAACATTTTTTAGATTGTGTTTTTTTTTTTTTTTTTTTTTATAGCAAAACAAATGTATACCATTCATGCAGGTTTTAAAGCTTGAGAACAAGTACCGTATCTTGCGGACAATAAACAGCTCTTTTTTTCCCGCGCTTTGAACCACCTAATGTAAAGATGCAGCTTTTCTGTGGATTTTGCTTCAACCCCCAGGGGGCAGAAATCAAATAAGAAATAGAGCGAATTCTCATTTAGCACAAGCACCTGCTATTGGCAGCCACGACGGAGAACAAATGTCCCGGATTCACACATTTTGACATTTATTTGCCTCATTAAAGCTGTCAAACCTGTGGGCAACATCTGCAAAGCTAAAATATAGAGCTGACGAAGCATAGTCTTTCTTTAAATGCTCTTACAGCGAGCCAAAAAGAGTTATCATTTATCTTCGTCCCTACTCTAGGGGTAGAGCGCCCCCTGCAGGTTTGGTTGGGGGCAGTTCAGTTGATATCACGGCTTATATCCCAGTGAAGCTTATAGTGAGATGCGCTCTATATTCCGGCAAATACAGTAAACCTTTTTAACTATTGTGTTGGTTTTCATAATGTGCCGGTTGGTGGAATAAGTAATGAGTAAACAGAAAAGGGCCTTACCGTTATGATGGAGGAGTTGAAGGCATCTGCAGTTTTATCTGCAGGACGATAAAAAAAGAAAATCTTTCTTACTTTTGTCAGAGTTGAAGAGATGAAGATCATGTTTCATGCTAAAAAATGTAATTACATTAATTACAAATAATTAAACTTCCTCATCTGCATGTTGTCATCCGCTATTAATAACAGTGCTATGATACATTATTTCCCTACAATGTGATATCTCTTTACAAAAACAAATAAAGATTGTGTTCTTATATACATACCAGTGAAGCTCATGTATTTCTGGCTGTTGGCCGTTTCCTTCGAGTCGTAGAACTTTAGGACATCGAGGACGGCCTGTGGATTCTTCTTCTGCTCCAGCTTCGTGATGTTGGAGGTCTGGAGGAGCCGGGCCCATTGCTCTGGCATGCCCTACACAAACAACCAGCATAATTTAACCTCTCAAAACCCACCGGGGGACCTGTTTTAAAGCTTTTACATATAATAACTCAGAATGCATGAAAATTACACTGGTAAAATGTTTACCAATATAGACATGTTAGACATCGTTGGGAAGCTTAGATTATCCACAATTCAACCGCCTAGTTCATTTTATGGACATAGCGAGCACCGAAGAACAATTATAGCAGCATTTGAAAATGTAGCATGCTGTTAAAAAAAGGCTTATTATTTTCGAGAATAAAAAACAACAACTTTGAGTCTTGTTTGAACTGATGCAGCTTGGGTGTTTTACTCAACCAGTGTTCATGTATATATTCAGAAACTAGAAGGTGTTAGCTTTCAAATAATGTATCACACATGTAATTTGGGCTTACAGTTCCTCAGCTCTTTGCTTTTCCATTTGGGTATGCAAAATGGACGAATTTCCCAGAAATGAGGTGGATATTAAGAGGTTAACAGTTAAAACGTTATTTATTCATTTCTTTTTACAATCTGACAATAAACTGAAAAATCTTGATGAGTATTAGAGAAATCTAACCTTTCTTTTATGCTGACCAGTTTTCCACATGTCTCCACAGGTGGTTTAAATATTTCTCTTTAATGATGGGTAGGTTTGGTAGCACTCTTTAGCATTAGCTCCGTCCAAAGATTCTCTATAGCCCCATTTACACTACCTTTGTGAAACCATGCCGAGATCGGTCTGAGCATGGAAACTGAGACAACTGTTGAGTGTAACTGGCACGCACAACTGAACCGGACCACGCCAGACACAACCAAACCACGCTAAACTGTTACTAGTTCATTAGTAGGGCTTAGCATGGTTCAGTTTTGGCTCAGTTCTCAGATAAAAAGTGCATGAGCAGACCGCGTCATCTCCTTACAGTCAGCCTCCGTAATCATGAAACATCAGCATTCATAAAAAATATAAGCTCCCCTACTGTGCCACATGATTTCCAGTGATGATTCTGCTTAGCAGTGTGATGAACCCCAACATCTTTCGTTGTTTCCTGCATCTGTAAGCCCTGATCAGACTATTGTTTATTGTATCCACTTCCAAAAAGCCGACTCAGTCAAGTAAATTCACCAGGCTGCCTTTTTCACCCGACTCTCCACAAACAAAGAAATATCACAATGATAACAAAACCTAACTTCCTGAATGTTACAGGCGCCGCCATGTTGGTTTGCTTGTTTACATCTAGAGAGCAGTAGTACCATAGATCACCACTAGGAGGAGAGGAACCGTGCCAGCGTGGTGTGTAAAGGGACGTAAGGAACCAAGCTCGGCAAGGTTAACTGATCCAAGTTTGGCGGGAATCGGTTTTCAGAGGGTAGTTTAAATGGGGCCTATGATTCAAGTCAGGACTGTCAGGGCCACTCTACAGGATCAAGCATGCTAGTAACATCGAAAGTTTGCTAAAAAAAAAAAAAAAAAAGAAAAAAAAAAGTCAACACCCAACTCTGTCAGGGTCATGGATAATTTGTGGCTTATCTGTAGACCCAAAGCTCTGAAATATTGATACTATAACCAATGGTGGTTATTTAGAAGCCTTTATTGGTTATATGAGGTAAATAAGTTTTAGCAAAGCAAACACTAACCTACTGAAAAACCAGGAACCAGAACCAAGAGCTGATCGCTACTTGACGTCTATTTACCTCTAAGGTGAAACTTAGAATTGGAGATATGAAACCATCTTATCTGTGCTCTAACCAAGACTGTGGTCTATTAAGTGATACAATCCTTTAGTGACAGACTGCTGCACACTAAATGCACCAGGGAGCGTTATCACAGATCCTTCTTCCCAGGAGCTGTAAGACTATATAACCATCACTGCTCCCAAGAACCTCAATAAGTTGTTACATTCATGTTGATTTTGCACAGTTTCTACCTCAGTCAGTTAAATAACATGCTACTGTCATTTTGCACATTTCTGATGTTGCTGCTATTTTCAAATATCTGTTACTGTAAAAATGTCCATAGCTGTATATTGGTTATTTATTTTCCAGGTGCACAGTTTTATATTGTTAAAACACTTTACAGTATTTTATTGTTTATCTTTTAACTCTTCACTATTATGTTATTTTACATTTTTCTAAGGTCTACACTTGTATGACCATTTTTTCTAAAATTCTTTTTGCTGCTGTAAACACCAAAATTTCCCCATTGTGGGACAATAAAGGATTTTCTACCCTATTCTATTCTATTCTATTCTATTCTATTCTATCCTATTTAGAGATCAGTGTGTTTTAATGCTTCAAGATACTGGATCAACATTGAGTAGACCTGTTGGTATGAAAGATTTATCGAGGTAAAAAGCTTCTAAAAAAGCAGGAACAAGTCTTATACATAAGGCAGCCATATTGGATTTTTAAATTAAGGGTTGGCTAGAAATCTCACAGCATTTAAAGTTTATGACTAAAAGGTGTTAATGGTGAACAATGGTTTAGTTTTGTGTTTTTAACAGCAGAACATAACAAATAGGAAAAAGCTATAAGCGGGATTAAAATGTCACTTAGAGAGGTACTTTGTTCCAAGTGACAGTGATTTATTTATTAATTAATCAATTTAGAGATAAAATCTAAAAAGAATATCTAAAAAAATAACACTGATCCAAATCAAAGGTTCTCCAAAGCTCCTGATTTTAAAGTCATCCTCGGATTAAATTCTGACAATTTTCTAATGAACTATATTTTATTGAGACAATTTCAATGTAAACCTTGAGAGATTTCTTTTGCATTTATATTTTTAAATCAGCTCCAGGTAGATAGACCCATGTGATATAACAGTTTGTCTGTGTGCAACAAGATAATTTCTAAAGAACTGCTGACTAAAAACTCTGGCTTCACATTCTGCCCGAGCCTCGAGTGAATTTTTTTCAATCCAGTTTCCTGAAAACATAACTTCCTACGTGTTTTTTACCCACAGTGGGTTTTTCTTAAGGTTTAACACCTCTTTTTGTCCCCAACACTAAAAAATGACAGAGGGAATAGAAACAGCAAAATGGATGAAGACTTTTGCTCTGCGCCGTCCTACACAGGAAGGAGTCGTGTTGTATTTGTATTTTTGTTACGCAACTGGGTCACATCTCCTCGTTTTCCTGCTCTTTCTCTCCTCTCTTCTGTCGGAATCAGTCCATCATAACGTCGCTCAGTTTCTGCTTCATCACTCCCTCCCTCGTCTGCTCAGGTCTGACCTTTCCTTCATTTTCCATCCATCCATGATTTGCTAATCAGCTACTTTTTTTAGGCAACATTGTTAACCCAGACACTAAGAAAATGTCTTCTTTTTATACAGATAATCAAATAAACTGTGACCCAGATAACAAACCAGGAACCAACAAGCACACACTTAGATCAAATGGGAGTTTAACAGTACACACTGTTTAACTGGCAGCTAGAAGGGCTTGGTCAGGCGGATCTAGTGACTCAGCTCAACAAGGCGCCTTTGTCTAATGTGATCATTGAAAGGCTTTATTTGGCAAAGTATGTGATGTCTGTCCATCAAACTAACAGGCAAACACACAAAGCTTCTCACAGTCTTTAATTAGTAACCACACACACACTGTTTTTAGATTGGGACAGTAACAAAGACTTACAGTAAACTCGCCGGTAACAGCATCAAAGCCAACGTGGATTGTGTGTTCAAAGTCAGACGGCAGAGAAATCTCAGGACGTTCCTTCTTCTTATAGGCTGAAAAAGGGAAAAATAAATTAATAACTGAGAAACTTTTCAACATATTTAAATTTTTGATTGAATGAACGAGAATCCAATATTTATTAAGTATATATATATTTTTTTTATTATTTAAAAAATACATATTTTATTTTACTAATTTAGAATTACTTTTACTATTTATTTTTACTTTTTTTCTCCACTTTTTGATATTTGAATTACTGGTGTGAATTCATCCTTTTCTTAATGGGAGGGTATGTAAACTTTCAAGCACAACTGTATAAGAAATCTGAGGGAGAAAGATGACAAAGGAGAAACCATATGTTGGGGTGAGTTGTAATATTCTCCTGAGGGAAATAACAACTCCACAGCATGTCCCAATGGGATGACTAATGACACAGGCAACACCAGCTGGCTGCAAGGTATTATGGGTAATCCAAGTCTGGAAATGGACATGAGGGGAGAGGTAGCCTGCCAATGGTGGGAGAAGCACACTTGCATGTCTGGGTGAAAATTTCAGTTAGTTAAAGTTCTGACTTCATGGCTATTATGATTTAAATGAACATTTTAATTACAAAAAAATAATTTGATGCAATTAATAGATGTTAAGATAATTATCATTGATGATGTTTGCGTTTATTACACCTTAATATTAGCTGCCTATTGTGTGTCAGAACTGATGTTTTCCACAGTAGAGTATCTGATTAGGCCAGTTCCTCCATCCGCCGATATACAGTTATAATCTTCATTTTGTACTTGGCAAAGATTTGGAAATGGAATGAGAGCGGTGTCCTTCAGCTAAGAACAAATTGTAATAATTTAATAAGGCTGGAGCCATGGATGCCTCCTCATCTGCTAACGTGTATGATGTAAAATTTGAGGATGAGGCAGACTGGAGATGTATAAAACGCTTGTTTAACTGTTAATCATGGCCACTTCTGAGAGGTGGGCCCGGTTGGTAAGCAGCTGCCTTCTGTAAACTCTAAGCAACTTCTCTGATCTGAGTAAGATTACAATTTTTATCAAAATCTGTTGTCATGTCTCATGGTTATTTAATACATATAAGTTATGAAGTGTTATTTAAAAGAATTTGTCCCGAGTGATCTCTTTTCAGGGAAAAAGAACCGGAGAGAGAAAAGCTTCAAGGTGTAAACACAGAGCTTACCTTTAACATATATAAACAGTTTGATTATCTCCACCTAAATGGTTCAACTAGATAGTAAAACTAACTAATAATAATTCACTATGTTTGTTTTTCAACATTATGTATTTCTAGCTAAAACAATTAATAAGCATAAACCAAAGAGTTTATTTTAGATAAATGTTTAAATTATGCTTGAATTTATGTATGTTTTATAATTCTGTCATTATGACGAGTCTAAGCAGTAAAAAGGTCACCTGGTGGTTACTTGGATTTAAAAAGGCATGAAGCTCCCATATTAAAAATTACAACAGAGTATTATCGGGGATTTTTTTTCTTCGTATTACTAGAATAAAGTTTTTAAAATTACGAGAATAAAGTAACAAGAATAGTCAAAAAAATTACGAGAATAAAGTCATAAAATTACAAGAAACAAGTTGCATTTTATGCCAACTCTGACAAGAAGCAATTTCTTCACTAAAATGAGGAATGTGGAGCATTATGTGAAGTTATACTTTGGCTCTGGTTTGACCAATAAGGACATATTTTAGCACAGCAGCATCAAATTGGGCAGGATGTCAAAGTGGACTCAGGTTGCTGTTTGGTGATGCTGGTCGGCCGTCATATGCTGGTCAGAGGTCTAAGCTTTTTTTCTGAAACGGGTTGTGATATGATGACTTAATTCTCGTAATGTTACAACTTCATTCTCGTAATGTTATGACTCTATTCTCAAAAAAAGAAAAAAAATCTCTAACCTGGCCCTAATACTCCACTCTAAAAAATGTATGTGGATATGACAGGAAAAAAAATCTGTTTTGATTTTAGAAACCGCCCCACCGTGATCCATCCAGCAGTGATGAACAATCAATACCTGGAAGTATTTATCGATGCTAAACTCAGCTTCAGCACTCAAGAGGAGTCACTAGTTAAGAAAGAAAACCTGCAGATTTTATGCCAGTTCTGGAACTGCTGACACTACAACAAACTGCCCAATGGAGACAACAAAGGTTAACTGACCTGAAATTCCCTAAAATCAACGACCCGATATTCATGCCAGCTCCACGCTTTCATGGGTCAGTTATGTGGAAGAGAAGGAGGATCAGGAGATTCCACTTATTCTGCAGCATTGCTCTCTTATTTGATGCAAACTAAAGAATAGCTTGTATCTGCAACTATACAAATTACCTCAACTTGACTTCAGTGTAATACGTTTTCTACATCCACAGAGACTAAAAATAGTAGGAAACTGCCCTGGAACCTACCACCCTAATGGGTTCATCCACAGGTTAACCACTGATTCCTGTTTTTAATGAAAGCTGACAGCCGAGGGACTAATTTGTTATTACTAAGCTTAAATAGCCTTTTGGCTAACAAGATGTTTTTACTGCAAACAAAAGCAGTTACAGCAGTAACTGTGTATACATGGATGCATGCACAGTGCTATAGAAAGTATTTGCCCCCTATATCCAAACAAGTTTTAATATCAGGCAAGTCATAATCTAAAAATTACAAAAAGAAGTTGTTAAATGATGATTTCGTGCAATCAATCAGCCATAACAACCAAAGCAGGCCTCCATTAAGTAATCCATCACAACCCTCTCATTAAACCACAAATTAACTGTAATTACATGAATTTTCCTTAAAGCTTAAAATTCACAAAACAGTAACAGAACCTAACTGGCAACATGAAGTGGACCTAAAAAAAAAAAAATAATTATTGCTAAAGAAATTCACATAGAAGTGCCAATTTTCTTTTTTTTCACCTAAGGTTTTGCGTAAAGAGGGAGATGATACTGCCACCTGTGGCCAAAACACAGAACTGCAGAACTCTTCTGCTCATTCTTGTAACTAGCGCGTTTTTGTTTGTTTTTTGCTTTTTTCAACTTACGCAGCTCCACTTTTATAGAATAACCTCCCGCTGCACATTAGGGAGGCTCCTTCACTGCCAGATTTTAAAAGACGGCCCAAGACTTACTTTTATTCGCTTACAGAACACTTGCAGGACTATGTTGTGACCTTGTTTATTTAGCTTAAAAAAAAAACAGCATTGAAAATTAGCATCAATCTATAAATTACTCTGAGCTGTCAAATGAACTGATAAACCAACCATCAGCTAACAGGAAGTGTCTGTTATAACACCAACTGATAAATCCATGTTTTAAGTTTGACACATGCAAAAATATTTGGTGCAAATAATGGGATGAAAACATTTTTATATTATGCCAACTTCAAATCAGGACTAGAGCACATTTTAAGCAGGATTTTTGTAAGCAGACTGAGAAAAAAAAAAGAGGGGACAGTGAGTTTAACTAAGCTGCAGAGTGAGACATAATGAGTTCAGACAGGTACGCTCTGTACTACAAGGCTCTGATGCAAAACAGAAAGCAAGCTAAAGAAGGCTAAAGTATCTCTACAGAGTTTGACAAGAAAAACAGCTCTGACCACTATCACCTAATGACAGATTTATAAACAGCCATCTTTTAAAAAGCTGAGTTTAAAAATTAAATTATGGCTTTTCTTACAAATCAACTTGAATGGACTGAATATGAAAAAAGGATCAAAATAATAAAATACATGAAACACTTATTATCCCCCATGAACCATCTATCAGTGGCGCCTGGCCAATAGAGGGTGCTTTTTAAACAATTTTAAATGAAAATATTTCAAAAATATATGAATATATATCTTTTAGACGTGCAGGTTAAATATTTAAACTTTAATGATGAGCAAAGCGTCATTCCATTTTCCGTCAGATTGGTGACATATTTCCATCCTAGGGTAACTATAATTCAGCTCTCCCTTTTCAGGACAACTTAATAAGTGGCAGCAAGAAAGTTGGTTGTTTAAGATAAAAACAGGTTAATTGAGTGATAAGTCGAGGAACTCACTCTTATCACTTCCTCCAGTCAGAATAAACCGAATGGAGCGGTCTTTCTTCTTCTTGTCCTCTGGGTTCGGTGGAAGCGGCTTGGAGCCATGGTTGAGGGGGATGGGATCTTTGTTGCAGGAACCGATCATGGTGCTGGTGTTCCTCATTGGAGGAGCTGGGGGCTTGTCCTCAACCTCCCCATTATCAGACATCTTCAGTTAGGCTGCAGCTGGCTGCTCCTGCACAGAAGCACACCAATCACAGCATGGATGGAACATGAGTCAATCTAACACAAGAACATACAAACAAGTATTTAAAAAAAAAAAAAAAAAGCTTTCTCTTATTTACATTTTAAATTTTTAACTTTGGTTTGGCTAAACCACATAACACAACAGGTCCAGACTGCAACAAACAATCAGCTCTGCAGAGGAGGTAATCTGGGCTGACTTCCCCTCATCCAAGTCTTGTGCAGGTCTAGAATCAGGCAGAGTGCTACTAACTCGGCAGACCACGCACATCCTGGACACAAACCGCTCTGGTTGCTCCTGGCTGTCTTTCTGCTGAACATCTTGTGGTCTGAGAGAACATATGGACACCAAATGTGCACCATTTCAGCTTTAGCTTCTTTATTTTGTATATGGGTTATGCATATTTACAAGAACAAAATAATTTATGGGCTGCACAGTGTTGCAGATTGTAGTGCTGTTGCCTAAAAGTAAGAACCAGCCTAAGGAGTTTCTGCATGGAGTTTGCATGTTCTCCCTATGCATGCATGGTATTTCTCAGGGTCGTACAGATTCCTTTCAAAGTTTGAATATCTGACCACCCAGGGATAGAACGGTTTATGAAAACCGTCCAAACCGTTCGGTTCGACTGTCTCGGTTCAATTCGCATGTGTTTCGTTCGGTTCATGCGCTGCTCCTTTTTCTCATAGGCGAAGCATGTACACTCCAGAGCAGAAGGTGGCGGTACTACTACCAAAGCCAACCACCAGTAATAAACAAGAAGAAGAAGCGAAGCAGCGTAGCCTGCTGTGGAGAATTGTGTCGGACTGGCGAGTGGGAAAGAACAGGAGTTGGAAGACGCGCCAGCAGCACTTTATAGGTCTGCTGTATGGGACCACTTTGCATTTAGAGGGACCTACGATGACGGCGGAAAGAAAGTTGTGGATAAAAGTGCAACAGTGTGCAAGCATTGTGCAACACGTTTTAATTATGCTAACAGCAACATGACCAACATGTCAGGCTAAACCCGAAATCCCACATACTCCGTCAGCGCTCCGCTCTGCCCCGCTGCGCTCCAGACCGCCTGCACAAAGCAAAGCCTACAGCCTCCACTGTGGCTCCCGTCCGCTCCGCTCTGAGTTCCTTGGAGATCGTAGAGGGCATGCGTGAGATGATCAAATTCAAAGCAGCAAAACATGCGGAAATGAACCAGGGTTTCCGCGGATCATTAAAAATAATTGCAATTCATTAATTTTTTGGGATTTTTTCATTAATTTAATTACTTTTTATGGGTTTTCGGGGTAACAATCAACATATACCGAACCGAAAACCGTGACCACGAAACCGTGAACCGAACCGTGGATTTTGTGAACCGTTCCACCCCTACTGACTACTAGGTTAAAAGATTACTCTTAAATGTCCTTAAGTGTGAGTGAATGGTTGTGTGTCTCTGTGTTACCCTGCTCGAGGTACAAACCTCACTCACCCTGGCAGATCACAGGGAGGGATGGATAGACTTCATTTCCCACCATTTATTTAAACATTCATCATTAAAATGTCTTTACATTGAGAGCAAAATGTAACCAAAGTCTAATTCCTGGTTTTCAAGCACAAACTTTTTGAATGAAACAGATTTTGAGAAATTGCCTGTGTTGTAGGGGGCCAACAGTTCTTATGAATAGGTGTTATATCACTACAGATTAAGTGAATTAAATTTAGAATAAAAGCTGGGGTATTTTTCATAACTATATAGGACCAGAATGATACCAGTTTTGCATACATTTCTGGTTGAAGATGAACAACGATTACTTTACCTTATCATTATGAAGCAGGAAATGGGATTCAACATATTTGTGTGGATGTGAGTTGCCGGTGTTTTAGTGGAACATAAACTTACCCTGATGGGCTACATTTGGAGGAGAAGCTTCTAAAAATAAAATCAAAGAAACAAGCAGAGAGTTTCCATTCGCTCAGAGTGGTCAGTTTGATCTAAAAACACTAAGCTGACTGAATCACAGTGCCTGTTTGTTGTGTTAACATGGGTGTGCTGACTCACGGCTTAACGAGTCTTGGTCGAAAGATAACACCACATTTATGGACTTTGATGTGTAAGTGTAACCTGCAGTGTGCACACACAGCTGAGAGGCAAAAACATCACATTTAATGACTGGTTCTAGCAACACACAAACACAGAAACTATGGGCTAACCTGATCTGTTAAACACTCCACTGAACACTGAGAGCTGCAAGAAGGATCTATGTAGGTCGGAGCTACGCGAGCAAATCAACACAGACAGACACAAAAATCAGGAATCTATAGAAACTTGAACCGTAAAGAGAGGGAACGCTATTAACGCCTTTTCCTGCACAAGAATAGAATAGAATTTAACTTTATTGTAATTACATTTTGTCACAAGTAGAAAGCAACGAAATTCACTCTCTACATTTATTTAACCCCTCCCTTTGGGAAGCAGTGGGCTGCCATTGTGCGGCGCCTGGGGAGCAGTGTGGGGTTAAGGGTCTTGCTCATGGACTGAGAGTGGCACTCTGTAGGAGTGGGGCTTGAACGCTGAATCTCTGGGTTCCAAGCGCAATGCCCTAACCACTAGGCCACCACTCCCCCGCCGCTTCCTGTTACTGTCCCTCCACCTCAACATGTCAGCATTTGATGTGCTCCTGACGCACTAAATTAAATCAGATCCAACAAAGTTATTCACTTTGTCTAAAATAGAAACTTCTAATGGATACTAAATTAGAAAGAACTCTGAAACAGAGAGCCTCTTATGATGTTCGATCTATGCTCAGAGATCTGATCCGCTCTCCAGTCTGGTTCCATCACACCCATTGTGAAGTTTACCAAGAGTCTGTTATAATAAGATATACCAGAGGGGCATATGAAAATACTCCAACCTGTGAAAAGAACAAGGCACCGACACCTGTATATCATTTAAATAGTTTATAGCTTGGATGTTGAGCTTGAATAATAATCAAATCTCCTCAGTATATCCAACTCTACCATATAATTTTATGGGTAACAAGGTAATTGAATTTAGCTAAAACTTATTCAAGCGTGAAATAAACCACTTCTGTAAACAGGAGTACCTTCTATTCATGGGGTTGAAACTAAGTTAAATTTGACAGTATTATCCAAAAATAGCATTTTTTAGAACATTTGCCAGATTATTAAAGTCTGAATTTATGTCAACAAAAAAAAAAAAAATAGAAGTTACAACAAAGACCTAAATTTATTCCAGATAAATACATCTTCAGTGCTGTTAGCCTCTGTAAATGATCTACTGCTGCTGTAATATTGGTCACATTTTTCCCCATTGGTTTCAACCCTATTCTTTACATAATACCGACCATTAAAACTTGTATGTATCAGTTTTAAAATTTGATAACCGAGCAAAGATAATCTGATGGCATCTGTGACCAATGTGCGTTTAATTTAAATGAGCAGATTAAGTGGAGCATCTGATTTTTCTGCATTGTTATGACACCTGCATCACAGGTGGAAATGTACAATTTTCTAATCAATAAAAACACCAATCAGCAGAGTAAAGTACACGCTCTGATGCATAAATGAGGACCATCAAGGTTTGCTCCATATAAATGTTAATTAAAAAAAAAATGAACATAGATTCTTTTGTTATGAGTCACAATCTTTCTATAGAAAATAAAAAATAGGAGTGGGCAGGTCAGACTTAAAAGAAAAAAGACAATTATATCGACCAATTAAAGATTGGCACATTGCCAGATCCCATTGAAGCCTATCTGAAGCTTAGAGGCTACTTGAAATCCTTCGTGAGGAATCGAAGAGCAAATCAGCACGAACACTAAATAAACTGAAAAACATTTCATTCAAATCATAGCGCCAATTTACAACAAATGTCCCATCATGGCATTTAGCACAATGACAGATCCAGTTTATATCCTGCAAAGTCTGGTCTATTAAATCCATTACAAACAACCGAATCTGATCGTAGTCATAAAAAAAACTGCGGCCAAGTTTGGTTTGAGCCATGTGGTAGTAAATCTGAAACTCAGCCGACTGCATGGATTCACAGACTTTATAGCAAATCCCCTTCCTACATGGGAATCTCACTACAGTCGTAAAGCTGTGCTTTATGCAGCTGTTCCTATCCTAATCTAAACGTTTTCTTACATAGTAGATAAAAACAAACCAACACCTGTAGAATAAAACCTAGCAGAACAACAGCAGTCATCCCAAACTACCCTCTCTGTATCAGTAATGTAATATTTCAGGGTGTTAGAAGTTGAATGAAATCTGGATCTAAAATATCTGGTTGTCATAAACTGTACATGCAAAAAAAAAAAAAAAACTCCCAAGCTCATAAAAATCAATCCCATCAGCATCAACAAAACACTTCTAAAACTTACATTAGATTAAAGCTTGAATTTGACTAATGAAATAAAACCAAACCTCAACAAAAGCAGATGTTCTTCAGCTCTGAATGAGAAAAGAGACTGAGACTGAAACCATGAAGCCATGTGGACTTTCACCCGGTCCAGCCTCCAACAGATGGTGACATAGGCCTGATGTCAGGAGGTGAGTCACACGTGGAAGTGGGAGATGTAGTAAAAGTTCAGAGACAGACAGAAAGGCAACTAATTGCCCCAGCAGAGTTTTGGCCTGTTTGTTTGACACAACAGACACACACGAGAGCAGCCACTCAAACATGAAGTGCAGATACAGACGCAGTGTGTTTGGCTTAGCAGCCATCACACATACAAACAGTCATTGTTTAGAAGGAAGTGATGGAGTCTTTGTTGTCTGCCTTTGCACACACACACACACACAGAAGGAGACAGCAGATTTCTCAAATTTCAAAGAGTGCTGTCAGTTTCAGCAGATCCCCGTTTCCAAACAAACCCACATACTGTCTGCTAGACCACAAACAAAAGCATACAGTTACCTTTCTGGTCTGGATCTGCTAACGAGGCTTCCCTAACCGGCAGCAGACCCTGTCTGATTTAGTATATCAGGTCCTACAA